GATCCAAGCGCAGGAACAAAAAAAAAAATTAAAACAATGGGCGCCAGCAAGCTGAATGCTGAAAAGACCAGCTTTTAATGAATTGAATATATGTTGTAATCCAGGATGGATAATATCTAGGGTTTGGTTAATAAAATTTAGCAACTTACTGTACACGGTATTTGGACATAAACACCTTTTCAAGCACTGTAAGACCTGCTACAGTCAGTTTCATGTTTTGTATTCTTTCACGAGGTTAAAGTTGAGGATATTTAAAGATGGTTTGGTAGAATGTTGTCTGAAATTGCAAATGATCATATTATTTGAACGTCTAATGGTTATAATTTGTTTGTTTGGACAGTGTGAGGTAGTAATTCAATGAAATAGACTGGAGTTTGTCTTGTTTGAATGTTATAGAATGCTAATAAATGTTGTCCCGTTCCTCTAGACTGTAGACTTACGTCCTGTGTCAAAATAGAGAGATCGTTTACTAGTGTTCGTTGGAAGTATTGTAACTATTCTTGTCGCTTCAAGCTGTAGCTTTTTCAATTTGTCTGAATCCATCAACGAACATCCGTCCCAGACTACACTGGGATATTCCAAGATGGCCCTAATATAAGTTGCATACAGTTTTGATTTTAAAACGATGTCTGCTAAGTTTATATTTTAGTTTTCAACGATTGGTTATATGAGATGTTTTTAAAATGCTTACATTGTGACAATCCATTTGATATTTGATGAAAATAGTATACTTTGATGGCGATAAAAATCTATATACATAAGATCAATATTTGCAAAAACAAGTTCAGGAATATTTTCTACGTTTTTTTTTTAAAAAAAAAAAAACAACGCCGCTGTTTTTTTAGATTTAACTTTAACAGCCATTGCTTAGACCAATTATTCAGTTTAATTAGACCATTATTTTCGACAAGCTCTATGTCAGCATTAATTGTCTTCATCTTGATTAAATTGACAATTTCTCTAGTGATCGTTTGCATTGGTATATTATGAAGAAATCCTTTGTAACATAAAATCCGTCTCTACACTCACAGCAAAGTTACATGCGAAATCTCAGAATGTGCAGTTTCATCAATTATTGTACTGCTACCACTCTTTATTAAAATCCCAGTCATTACAAAGAAGCTGTATCAACGATTTACAAATGCATGTCTTTAGTTTAAACACATTTTATTTCATAAAATATAGCTGGAGATTACAAGAGATACAATATAGAACGTGAAGATTAGAACGAAAGCCAATGGTTTGTAATATTTTTCTCCATTGACGCTACCAAATATTGCATTGATAAAAAAATTTCATGACAAAAAAATAAATTATTGAATAAACAAAGTGACGAGTCTCAAGGTTAAACATCAGTATTTAGCCAAGGTATATAAAGCACAAGGGTGAACAAGGGGGTAGACGAAAGACGAAAGAAAGCAAAATGTTAAATGGAGAAATTGTCAATTAAAATGCGTCAAACATCGTGTGGAAAGCTGAGAAAAGAAACATATGGACAAAATAAATAAATAAATAAATAAATAAATAAATAAATAAATTTGTTAAACACAAGAGATTCAAAGTGAACAGTGTTTCTTTCTAGTCCGATTCGTTGCGGAGGCGACAGCGAATCATTTGGAAAAAGAGGTGACATTTTTATTTCAAGTTGTTAATGACCCATGGCAGTGAATGTGTGATAGTAGTATGTTCGCTCAAGTAAATCTTTTGAATTTTGTTCCAATAAATTTATGAACGGCATCGAAACTAAGAATGTTTACCACACGCAGAAGCGTTGTATCGCCATACAAAAGGTATCTAATATAAAATCATGGCAGGGCCAATCGATGGTAATTTCATCGCTCCATCGCATCGTATCGCATCGCTTCATCGCTCCAACGCATTATCGCATTTTGCACACATGGTGAGAATAAATTACTATTTAACGTGTCTTTAACAAATTTACAAAATGGCGTCCTTTAATGACTGGATAAGAAGCTTCTTCAATAATAATTATTTCTATTCCATGCGGAGATAAATCTGCCTTTAAAGCTGGAACGAAATGTGGTATGAGACAAATACACTTTTTCATTTTTTTTATAAACTAATTAGCGTTTGAAAAAAATTAAATATTTACATGTACGTTGAATAAGCTTCCATTTGATTTTTTTTCTTGTGGTTGATATCAATTATTTAACCACCTTTGATTATCAAAAGACATTTTTTTTCAAGAAAAAGAAAGTAAAGTGGTTCCTGTCATGTCAAGTACCCCTCCACCGCCAGGTTGACTTTTGACTCTTGTGCCCAAGTATACAAAAATATCAACACGATTCTGTGTTACTTAAAATTAACCTATCCACTAAGTTTTGTAACTGTACAGTACTTAGGACTCAAGTTATTCTGCGAATACAAAAATGTGGATGGACGCACAGACGCACAGACGCACAGACGCACAGACACCAAACCGATTGTTATTTATGTGAGTTGAATAATAATTTGGTGAATTTAGAGTCCAATTATATTTTCACAAAATAGATGCTGGCCCTATCATCTTGAAAAGTCCCCCTCCCATATTCTTCCTTCTGATTAGGAATATTACCCCCCTAATAAGCAATGCAAGTAAATCATCTGTTTTATATACAAAATATTGTAACCTCCATTTATGGTCACGAAGAGAAATTTGACTGATAATCAATAGCAGTGTAATATATAATACTCTCCACAAAAATGTTGCAATGCCGAGAGAAAAAAAAGTATGTGCCATCATCTTCAGCTTACAAGTAAGCCTTCAATCATTATTAAAAGTTTACTAATTTTAAAAGGTTGAAAAAAGTATGTTTACGTCATACCGGCATTTCTTTCCAGCTTCACAAGCAGTTTTTTCTGCCTGTATGAACAAGGTATTCTTGATGAAATTGCTTATCCATTCATCTAGGGTCGTCTTTGTGACTAGATTAACCGGAATAAAGGCATTTGCCAGAATAAATCCAGGAGATAAGTAATTACGGGAATAATTGTGCAATACCAAAATAAAACAAAAATTTAAGAGTTAAGGTGGCATCAATATTTAAAGTAAAATGCATTTCGATTACAGTAGGTAAAGTATACCGACTTGTCATTTTTTTAAAACCTAAAACTTAATTCGTTTTATGGGAAAGATGACTTCTGAGAGAATTTATAAGTTGCAATTCAAAAGAGAATATGAAATTTAAAAATGAATCAGAAGTTTTTATAACATAAAATTGTTATATTGCATTAATATAAATAAACCAACATCTGGTTGAAAAGAACTAAAATCTTCGTTTTATTTTGGCATTACATAATATTCCGGTAATTACTTCTGTTCCGTTATTTATTCCGGTTAATATCTCTATTCCGATAAATCTAGTGACCCTTTGATTTTGTAGTGTATTCTCATCCCATGATGAGGCAATGGAGCGTTTGAGAGATGCGATGGAGCCATGAAATTACCATTCCTCCATCATATCGCTCCATCACTTCTATCGCATCGCCTCATCGCATCGCCTCATCGCACCGCATCATAACATCGCTTCATCGCATTGCCTCATCGCATCGCCTCATCGCATCGCATCATCGCATCGCTTCATAACTCCATCGCCCGGTTAAATATTACAGGCTGGAGCGATTGGCCCTAACAGGATTCTGTAATTTAAAGTTAAATTACCATATGGTACTATGGACTGAAACAGTTTGATGAGCTGTTCTTGGTAATTAACGCAAGGGGAAAAATTATATGTAGTTTTTATGGATCCACATCTATAATTAAGCAATTCAAATATATTTTTTTAATCAACGCTGTTTTATATTTTCCATATCCCAAAATTTGAATACATGCATGTCTGGACTACATATATATTTTATGCAGGTGAAAACATGTGGTTTCCAAGCGGATTGTTCTTTATCATACTTAAATTTCTCAAAGTAATTATGGACAATCTTGGAAATAAATTCCAAGATGTTGGTGGCAATGAATACGTCACCTTTCCGGTTTACCTAAGTGGCTAGAGCGTCTGCCTTGGATGCGCGAGGGCGTGGGTTTGAATTCCGGCGGCGTTGTACCAAAAACATAAAAATGGTACTAGCAACTGCCTCGCTCGATGTTCAGCATTAAGATGTTAGTCTTAGGACTAGTTGGTTTGATGTCAGGATAATGTGATTAGGTCGGACATGACATGATGTCGCATGTCTGCGGCTTGATGCCCCATATAACACGAACACCCCACATTACAGACATTGTAGCTATATGACGGAAAAACTGTTACAGCTAAGTTAACAATTTTATCAATATCATACACACATACACTTAGAAATAGACAGGCCTTGACACACACAATATATAAACACACAAAAAATATGTAGTTCTTAAACATACATCAGTCTAGAATCGTCATCAAAGTCAAGTGCCTGATGGGATACAAACAGCCTCGTGTTTGAGTCTAATAGGGGTTTCTGTCTTGCTGGTGATGCGAAAGAGTAAAATTATAGACGGAATGGATTGATGACTAATTTTGTTTCAGTCCAAAGTGAATACATGACACGTCGATTGTTTTGCAACAAATATATACCAGTAAAAAGACAGCATCAAGAGTTGTAAACTTCATGTCTAATTTGGTCGAGGAGTCCGAAGAGCAAACGTTTGAGCGATGACAGAATAAATCCGTGTTATACGGTCGGGAAACCAAATTGCTTTGTCCTATTTGTGGGCTGATGACAAAGGATGGAATTTATGCGTAGCGAAAAACAGCAAGCAGAAACTACATTAAAAAGCCGGTAATGTTTTGCGTGAAGATGTGATATAATGTGATATGATTTTTAACGTAGCTTTCACAATTTTTTTAGTCATATCGCTACGATGTCTGCAGTGGGGCAGTTTATAGTGATGTCTGGGGCATCATGCCACAGACATGTCCTGACACTAGGCAAAGAGTCCTAACACTAACCTCTTAAGGCTGAGCGTCAAGTGAGGCAGCTGTTAGTACCATTTTTTGTAAGTCTCTTTGGTATCACTCGAGTGGGGATAGATTCCACGAATTGCCGCAACCCAGGCGGACGCTCTAACCACTAGGCCACCGGAGCGGTCCTTGTGCGTAAAGTTAATCGAGGAAATTTGTCATGTCATAAAGTGAATCCTAATTGGAGTATATACAGGACTGTGTTGGTAACGTTAAATGCTTTTATTTAAACACAATTCCCCCACGAGTTCTCATTATGCAAAACCAAATACCATTCCTTGACGTGTGCGTTCGATGTTGTTCGGCTCCATGTTTTGTAACAACTCGAGGGACACTACATAACGTTCAGAGGAGTTGTGCTAATTGGAGAATTTCGCATTCATGTTATTACAAATGTGACTCTTATGGCTTATTCGACAGTTTTCTGTAGTCACCCTTCTTTAGTTTTCTGAAGATTTTAATTTTTTTTTTTGCTTTCCTTAGTCCTTATTCATTCTTTTTCTAAAGTCAAAGTTTTCTGCAACATATTGGATGACACAATTTAGTTTCCAGAAGAGTTCTGTGAGTCAAAAATTTTGGATATTGCAAATTCTGATCAATAAAATCAGAATTTGGATAGCAACTGCATCAGGAAAAAAGTGGAAGAAAATTTTCACCTTTTCCATACAACCTTAGCCTAAAATGTAAAATTCCAGATTGGGCATATATAAGCTGACGCGTTTGGGTCTTACTCGCCGGAGGGATTTGTAATCTATATCCACGCACGTTAAACTAGAGCTGGAAGATAATACCCACACATTCTATACGTTTAACCCCACTCCATCCACGGCCAGAGGCAGCATTCATAATTCAAATCCGTCTGAAGACAATGGCTGAGGGGTTTATTACTACTTAAGGACTGGTTTCAAGCGCGAAAAAGATGACAGTGTTATAGAGTGCTTGCTGACAATCGAGTTAGAAATTATAAATCATTGAATTAAGTAAGTTTTTTTTTTCTTCATAAGTTACATCATTTATGATTTTCTTACAAAATAAGTAGGGGGTACAAGCTACCATTTGGATTGGCGAAAACTATAAGAACCAAATGTCTCCTGAGAGTTATTTGCAAGCGTTAAATTCACTTTTACAACATTTACAGCTTACTAATATTCACTAAATCAATTGCATTACGGGAGAGTTTCAGTGAAATAAATTGACACGTTGCAGTTTTTTTTGCCGTTGTTGATTTTGGCGATCGCTAGCGCAAAAATACTGGTTAAGAAACACAATCCAGATTTAATCACCCTTCTTCAATCGGCTCAGGCTACGAGATTCCATACAACTTATGAAAATTTGACCTTTGACCCGGACCACCTCCAACGCATCTGGGATCTAAACTCTTAGTTGTCATCTATTTATCCCCAGTGAACGTCATATTTTACCAAATAAAAGGATACAGTAAGAGGTAGAAATAATAGTCGAATATATATATATATATATATATATATATATATATATATATATATATATATATATATATATATATATATATATATATATAGATGCAATAAACTGACGACGAACAGTACGAAACTAGTAACTAACTAGCCTAAGCGCTTTCGACTCTTAATGAGTCTTTTTCAAAGGCAAATACAAAACATAGTTACGACAAACAAATAAACACAAAAACGTTGCGTTTGTAAACCTCTACATTTCTATCTTCACATGTGCTAAAACTATAAATACAACCAGCTTGTATAGACTAGTTGCGGAAACTGAAAACGTTGTATAATTCCCTAAAAGTCTACAAGCCAAAGCGACATCTATTTTTACTTTGTGTACATATGTAACGCAGATTATATCCCGGATATTTGGTTCTATACCGGTTATTCTTATAGTAAAAGTTGAAGGATAAGAAGATTTAGAAAATGTTAAATTCTACTAGTGCATAGTTTTCATTTTCTAGTCTTCTTGGTTTAGACCGCTTGGTTTCAATGTTCTAAGGCGGCGTATCCAGTATGATTCCTTTTCCTTCCTGGTTTCGGAACTCCAGCTGTGGTTGTTGGCAATAGCGATAAGTATTATATCACTGAAAGTGTGGCCAGGGGAGGAGAAGTGTTCTGCGACCGGGCTTCTGTACAGCTTTTTTGTCATCCAATCAGATCTATGAAGGTTTATCCTTATGTGTAGCTTTTCAGTTTCTCCCACGTACTGAAGGCCACAGATCTTACATGTGATGAGATAAATCACATTCTCTGTTTTGCACGTTTTGTGTGGACCATGTATGTTTAGTTTTTCTTTAGTCACTGTGCTAGTGAATGTCTTGGTCTCTATCATATGTTGACAGGTTTTGCATCTTTTATCGCCACAGGGTCCAGATTGACTAGGTTGGTTTTGACTAGCGATTGTTGTTAGCTTGGCCCTGACTAGGATGTCCTTTAGGTTTTTTGGTCTCCGGTAAGCTACTACAGGTTTGTTCGGAAGTATTAGGTTTAGTATGTCTGACGATTGCACGGTTGGCCAGTGGTTTGCGATGATTTTACCTACTTTGGGATTGTCTGGGTGATAGGTCAGAATAAATGGTATCCTATCAACCTTTTCTTTCTGTCCATATCTGAGTAGGTCATCACGGTTTGTTTGTTTGGCCCTTTGGATTGCCTCTGCAATCAGGTCTTTGTCGTAGCCTCGGTAAATTAAATGTTTAGCCAGCTCTTCAGACCTTTCTATGAATCTTTCATCGTCGGAGCAAATTCTGCGTATCCTCAGTGCCTGGCTATATGGAATGTTCTTAATGCAGTGTTTTGGATGACAGCTGGTTGGGAGAAGATACTGGTGTTTGTCGGTTGGTTTCGAGTAGATGTCTGTGTGTAATTTGTTTTCCACCAGTCTGGTTGTTGTGTCCAGGAAAACATGGTTTGAGTTGGAAATTTCTGCCGTGAATTTTATTGAAGGATGGAAGTTGTTTGCCTTTGAAATGAAGTCATCCAGACTTTCTCTTCCATACTGCCACTTCATTTCTATATCATCGATAAAGCGTACCCACTGGTATGGTGTACGCTCAACCGATGCTAAGAGCTTTCCCTCAAGTTTTCCCATGAAAATGTTAGCATACGAAGGGGCCATTAGTCAATCTGGACCCTGTGGCGATAAAAGATGCAAAACCTGTCAACATATGATAGAGACCAAGACATTCACTAGCACAGTGACTAAAGAAAAACTAAACATACATGGTCCACACAAAACGTGCAAAACAGAGAATGTGATTTATCTCATCACATGTAAGATCTGTGGCCTTCAGTACGTGGGAGAAACTGAAAAGCTACACATAAGGATAAACCTTCATAGATCTGATTGGATGACAAAAAAGCTGTACAGAAGCCCGGTCGCAGAACACTTCTCCTCCCCTGGCCACACTTTCAGTGATATAATACTTATCGCTATTGCCAACAACCACAGCTGGAGTTCCGAAACCAGGAAGGAAAAGGAATCATACTGGATACGCCGCCTTAGAACATTGAAACCAAGCGGTCTAAACCAAGAAGACTAGAAAATGAAAACTATGCACTAGTAGAATTTAACATTTTCTAAATCTTCTTATCCTTCAACTTTTACTATAAGAATAACCGGTATAGAACCAAATATCCGGGATATAATCTGCGTTACATATGTACACAAAGTAAAAATAGATGTCGCTTTGGCTTGTAGACTTTTAGGGAATTATACAACGTTTTCAGTTTCCGCAACTAGTCTATACAAGCTGGTTGTATTTATAGTTTTAGCACATGTGAAGATAGAAATGTAGAGGTTTACAAACGCAACGTTTTTGTGTTTATTTGTTTGTCGTAACTATGTTTTGTATTTGCCTTTGAAAAAGACTCATTAAGAGTCGAAAGCGCTTAGGCTAGTTAGTTACTAGTTTCGTACTGTTCGTCGTCAGTTTATTGCATCTATTTTAATTAATCCCTGACAGACGTGATCCCTTGGTGGATCCAGTACGCTTGAGAGGGTTGTTATTCGCCATATGATTTGTATTCTTTATATATATATATATATATATATATATATATATATATATATATATATATATATATATATATATATATATATATATATATATATATATATAAATATATATATATATATATATATATATATATATATATATATATATATATATATATATATATATATATATATATATAAATATATATATATATATATATATATATATATATATATATATATATATATATATATATATATATATATATATAAATATATATATATATATATATATATATATATATATATATATATATATATATATATATATATATATATATATATATATATATATACACAGACACACACACTTCTGCAATGTGGAATTCTTTTTTTATGATTTTAGAATATTTTATCGTAACTAAGACCTATTACTGACCCACTAGGACCCCTAAAAATCCATGACTCAATTTTAAGTATTTCTTTATGGGGGACATGGGACGATTATCGGCCCCTATGGATACCTGAACCCCTAATACTGGATACAAATTGATAAAAATCGTTATTATTCCGCCACTGAAATTATATAAATATGTCTACATTGTGTAATGGTGCAAAAGTTTGTCTAGTGGCAGCACATTCTGTCGTGGTCAGCATGACACGTAACCATTAACTTTGACGTATGGGCTAGGCTTGCAATAAATTGCTGTGTTCGAGGGATGGGATGTGCTCTGTTTGGATTACATTTAGATGTTTAATTAGGACCTACTACGACGGAAACGGCAAAGTGGATACAATCCAGAGATAATTTTGGGGCCATTTTAAATAAATGCCATAAAATGAAATTTTCCAGACTAGTTATTAATATACGTTGAACTGAGAGAATTATTCATGCTTCGAGTGGCATGTTAGATTTTGGCTGTTAGAGAATCTCTCTCTCTCTCTCTCTCTCTCTCTCTCTCTCTCTCTCTCTCTCTCTCTCTCTCTCTCTCTCTCTCTCTCTCTCTCTCTCTCTCTCTCTCTCAACTAATCAGTTACTGAGGGAAGCCAGAATTTAGCTCCTGAAAATAACAAGTATTTTCTTAAGTTGTCTAAGGAACAGCGACCTGGTGTGGTTTTGTGGTGCTTAACGCCATTTTTCAGC